ATCTGGATATCACTGGCAGTCATAGGTCAAATGAGAACASCAGGAATAGGAGCTGGAAGGAATGTCAAGTGTCTTGAGTAAGTTCATATAGTAGTACTCAGACGTCCTTGGTGGTCTTGGGTCAGGTCCTTGTGGGCTCACAACTACATCATTTTGGAAGCTTCCTTCTATCAGAATGGATTTTGCAGCCATTTCTTGTTGCTTAACCTGAGATTGCTGTTATTTATGAACCTTGCTCTCTTCCTGGTTGGATTCGTTCTACTGCAGCTATTCCAATGGAATTCAGATTTCCTTTCTAAAATAAATGCTTGGCCTGCATCAGCTTTATTCCTTGTGTCCACTTCAGTTTAGCAAATTACACAGTTGTGAAATATTTCCACTGGTTGCTGCTCTCTCCTGCTCGCCACCTTCCTACGTGACAACTTTGGGATGGAAATATTGCTTCTGTGTCCCTGACTTCCTTCTCAAGGGCAATGTTTTTCTCTTCAATTCCATTTCTCTTATGGAAATGGCCCTTCCAGGGAAGGTCATGCTGTTTGTGTTCCTTTGGAAAGGCAAGGAGTGTATTTGGTTTTCACCCACAGCAGCTAGAGCACAGTATGTTGTTTCTATAAATGGGCCACTATGATGTTTTGTTATGAAATGGCTTTTGATATAGGATAGCTGTGGACTTATAGCTTCCAAATATATTCCAGCCTTYAATAAAAATGACAAATCTCTCTGTCCCCACAGGGTATGCACATGTATATGTTTCCAAGGGCTCAGTTGTGCCATCCTACACCTAAACTGAGAACAGCTGGCTTCTTGTTGARAGACAAGCGTTGTTTGCATCTCTTTCCCATCTCTTCTGCCTATCAACTCTGGACCTGGACTAACCAACTCTGTGGAAAAAAATAAGGGGCAAGAAATAGTGTCAGAGTTGCCTGGTTAGGACACAGATTCCAAGATGGGGTAGTGCTAAAGAMAGGAAGTTTTGTGTAGGGGGAAAAAGTACTCTTGCAAATCATGTTGTGGGATATTGGTTTAAGTCAGGCAATATGAGCCATGCCCAAACTTGTTACAAATCAACATAATTATCAGACTTTCCAAAAATTTTCTTGGGCAGTGCATATAAATGTATGTAATCCAGCACTGCGGTTTTAATAACTGTTGGTATTCTGTTAAGTTTTTACTAATAACTCTGTTATCATTCTCTATGACCAGCAAGATAGAGCAAGGACTGGAAAAAACACCAAAGCATAAAGCAAAACACTAAGAAAATTTCTGAAACAGTTTTACTGGCAGAAGCACTAAAGTTTTCTCCAGACTAGGTTCAGAGAAATGTCCAAGCTTTTAAGTGTTTGCTTTTCAAATTCATCTTGAATCTTATGTGGTTTGCTCATCAGTGTCACCTCAATGGGACACTGCCTTTCCTTGGGATAGTCAAATATTCCTTTATTGTTGCCAGGTAACCATTAGGTCCTGCAGTAACATTATTCAGAGAGACAGAAATGGGACCTCAAAATAAAGCCCTTCACGCTTCTTTTTCCTGTTTTCAGGAAACATCAGGTCATTTAGGGCAACACCTCCATAACTCCATGAGAAGTTTTGACATGAAATGGGGGATTTTGAAGAAATATTCCAACAACTTAGGGCTGGAGTCTTATAAACATTTATTCTGTGATGTATATGGTAATTGCAACCTAGAAACRAAGCAATATGCCAAAGGGCTCTAAGCATATAGTGAGTGTTCCATTTCCACTATATAACAATAGCAACAATTATCTATTTATAGCCAGTGGAAAGACATTTAGCAACTGACCATGATCAGTTCAGGGCCTCAATCTTTCTGGCTGGGCATTTAACCTCCAGGAAATCTCTCTCTACTTAGTTGTTATTGCCTCATTATTTACACTAACTATCACAACCGTTTGTATAAATATTTGCTTTTGTGGTACTGGCACCATGAAGGAGTTCAGGTCAGGACATTGTCTGCATATTGTATAGCGTTACAACATGCAAATATTTAAGTAAATGTGGAAAACAACAGAAGGCTTCTAAACTGACAAAGTGAAGAGGTCAGGCTTAGAGCACCTGCTCTATACAGTTGGCTTTTATTAAGGCATACAAAGTGCAGTTTTACAGGAGGTCAGAGCAGATGATGTAATRATTCTTCCTGACCTTCAAATATAGAGATTGTTTCCTTAAAACCAGTGTAAGTCAAGCCAGTAAAGTGAATTTAGGCTTGTGTGTTTAGATCATCACAAAACTGGTATTTGGTGGAACAGTTTCCCTGGTACCTCTTTCGTTTCCAGTGAACACAGTTTTGTCATGGGAAGGGGTTGTTGGGAGTTGCTGAAGATGTCTGCATTCACACATAAAGAACCTGCAGACAGACATGGCAAATAGGCATAAACTGAACTTTGGTTCTGTTCAGTTATGCTTCCTGGGGGTTTTCCTTATGATCAGCAAAAGGTAAAATAAAATCTGTCCTAAGCATATCAGCACATTGGAATYTAAGAGCTCTTCTCCTTATAATGAGCTGAGGAATTACAACACAAAGCACACCTTTCTCTCAAATTGACTGATTAGCATAATAAGGTTAAACTCAAAGCAACTTGTTCTCAACCTGTATCTRGCCTCAAGTGTTTTTACTTGTATTTCAGACCTGCCAAAGGGCTCATGTGTCCAAAAGCACGTGCCTGCTATTTTCCAGCTATATCAGTTAGTCTAATTAAAGCCTTACCTCTTCCTACAARTTTTGCCTCAGGAGTCTACATGGCTAAGCAATTTACATCTGTGTCATTATTTAAATCTGGCACAGTTTTAAACCATTAGGAGCATCTTACATATGACTAGCCTAATTTAGGTGCACTGGCTATTGCACCTATCATTATAGTTAGTATCAGTTTCATGTATGGAAAAGACCTTGCAGCTATATAATATAGGAGCTAAGCAAATGTATTTTATGAAGGAAAAGATCAGAGTGACTTGAGTGCTGCCAATAAACAGTAACTGCAGATGAAGAAATTACCAGATTCACTCCCAGACATAGAAGTAAGAAGTCTGAGCAAGTTAAAGTGAAACTTCTTTAGTTATTTCCTTAGAGTTTGATAAAGCTATACAAAGATGTGGTAGATTGTCTGTCACTTAGTACCTATTTAGAACTTAGCACCTCTATGGAAAGCTTAGTACTCCACAATCTAGTTTAAGTTTGTGGACTTGACAGGAAGCAATAGAGAAGCTGAACAGACAATGTTTTGCCATAGATCAAAAGATTTTTGATCTGATCAAAAATGCTCCTTCCCCCCCAGCTCAGGACAGAGCAGCTCTGAAAGACGGAGAAAGGGGTATTTGCACATCAGGGTGACCTCTGCTCTAATAAATTAGTTCAAAGAGGCTGCAGCGTCTTGCAACAAGAGTATCCAGCTGGCTTGCCCTAAGCCTTTGAAAAGCAGCAAGGTGCCAAGTTTACCTACTCGTTGTGTACATCAATCCTGAAGTCAGACAAGTTTAGATTGGCCCCATTGTGGGTGGGCACCCTGAAACTTGTGAGTTTCATTAGATGGTAGTGTTTGATTTTTGTTTTCTTTTCCACCAGGCTGCAATTCTTCGCAGGACTTTGGCGTGAAGAATGGGTGTACCTCTAGCTTCAGCCTGTAAAATCCACTTGTAACTCGCTACAAAAGCAATGGCTGTTTGCTCTTTACAGTGAGATAAGRGCTTAGAAAAACCTTGACATAAGATTCCTAACCTGCGAAGTGAGATAGTCTACTTTGCCTTGCCAGAGCCAAGATTTGGAGAGGTTGCTCAGCAGATGCTCTGCTGTGGCATGAGGGAAATATTTTATAGCAAGAACACTGTTTTCCTGAGAGCAATTCASAGAGCAATTTCTGAAAGCAATTCAAAAGTTTGTGTGGCAGGAATGTGGAAGAGGAGGAACTTTTGTTCTGCAAAGCTGTAACTGATGTGGCTCTGGGTAGCAATGCTGCTGCTTTTACTCTTATATAACTGTTCTGTGCTCAGCTTTGCAGACTTACAGGTTTGTGGAACATGGAGACTTTTTTTTTTTCTTAGTAATACAGGCTTGTCAATAGCTCCTTAAGCTTAAAAGGCTGTTTTTTTCTTAGCTATCTTTTGTAGATCTCTTAAATTGTCCATTGAATGCAGAGGTTGGCTAAAAACACTTGGAGCCCTGCAAGAATCCATTTGATGAAATGTTGAAATTTTAAGTGGCTTAAAAGTGACCTAAAAAACCTTCCTTTAGAGTTCTGTGCTGGAACTCACCTCTGCAGCATACTTGCTAGCCCTTAAGTCTTGCCAGCTTTCACTCTTTCTATGCAATGCAACATAAGTTAGTTTCCATAAGCTGGCACCTTCTCTAAATGCCAGCAGTCAAACCCCATTATTTCAGGGCCTGATGACTGGAGGCAAAGCAGAAATTAATCTTCAGATTTCTGTGTTGTAACTTATCAGTAATGTTTTGAGGTGTTGGAGGGCTATTGGTCAGTAGTTGAGAAATATCAACTCTTTAGTATAATGGGTATTTGTTGCCAAAAAAATGAGAATCCTAACTCAGTTTCTGGTAGAAACATTTGTTCCTTTAAAAAAAAAAAGACAGAATAAAAGGTCAAAAATTGTTTTGGTTTTTGAAAACAAATTCTTTAGCTTGGACTGGGGGGAGGGGAGAGGTGCAGTATTTCTAAGAAATGCCAAAAATTTGAGTGGAAACAATTTTCCACAGGTTGAATATCCTCTGTGTCCAGAGGTGCTTTTTTCTTTTTCCCCCCACTTTGTTTTGATGGGAAAAAACAAGGCAGCTCTTTTTGGGTGTTTTGTTTAGGAAACATGGGTTATTGATGTCTAAGCTTAAGTTCATACAGCATGGTTTCTAACAGATCACTTATGTGGATTGTTCTGAGGTTTCTCCTTTAATAATAGTAAAAACAATAATTATTTGCCTACAGGACTGTAATTGAGAACAGTACCTTCCATTCTCATGTTTGTTTTTCCTTTTCCAGATGTGAGATGAAGACCTGATCTGACTGACAGATTAAATGATTTTGACCCATCTAATGCTCAAAACAACTRCACATAATTGAAAATATCTTTTCTAATCAAAAGTCTTTGAGAGAAAATTAGTCTTTCCTTCTTTTTGTTTTGTGCTTGGTGAGTTAACTTTCAAGGTGTGATAATAAATGTGTCCAGACTTGATCCCTCCTTGTAAACTTTCCCTGAAAGGAAAGGAGTCAGGGAATACATGTACAAGCCATGCAAGAACTCCAAGACACAAGGATATTCTTACCATTTGTGATATCATCATCCCTTCTCAGTTTCTACTGAGGGCTCAATGGCATACATCTGTGAACTAGCTTACTGCAAAGATTTACTGCCCTTTACAGAACCTAACCTACTCATGTAGGTGCCCATACCCTCGCATTACTACCAACTATATGTTTTCATTTCTCTTTGCTTCCTTATTAAGTAGTATATTTTAATTTGTATTTGGGAGGACCTGGAGGTATGTGATATAATTAAAATTCAAATCTTTTGTAGTGAAAGACCTACTATGGGGTGAAATTTTCAAAAAAAAAAAAAAACCAAAAACAAACAAAACCCCCAAACATTGTTTAACATCCTTGAAATGCCATGTTGAAGTCTGTTAAGTTAAAGTGACCTCCGAACTGCTTTAATACAATGCAGCAGTCAAGTGATTTAAAAGCTGATCTCCAGTGGGATGTTAAGTCATTGTGCCAACACTATGTATGCCAAGTATTATGTTTCTCATTGAGAATATTRAGACTAGTTCTTGACTTCTTTGTCTCTGGCTCTATAATGGTAATAACTGATTTAACTGTCTGCCTCCAGATATCAAGTTTCATTAAAGTCTTTCTAAAGACTTTCCTCACTAGCATCAGTCACTTAAATTTTGATGTAAGCGTCTAAATAGTAGCTAGATACTTACATGCCTCTGTATTCTGGATCTTAGTAGCTTATTCTTGTCGCCTACCACCACTCATGTCATTGTCAGTGSCAGATCAGTGGATAGGATCCTTCAGATCTTCATAGACTTATTTCTTTTTTCTGGGAAGGCAAGATCAGTCTATAACTTGCACCCAAAAGCTTAAACTGTATAAAAGATAATTGGAAACACCTCAAAAAGAGGATGCAAGTGTAATACTGGTTCTTACTACAGATAATCTTAGTGTTTCAGCTACCTAAATATTCTTCTCTTTATGCAAGAGAGACTTAGATATGAAACTGTAGTAATTTTGAGGTAGTCTTGTAGATTTTAAATATGTAGTGTTCAGTTTATACTTGGCATAGTGGTTATAGATGTTGCAGCCTATTTTTCTAGATGTGAAAAGGCAGCCCTTATCAACATAACTTCCTTCTCCTAAGATAGAGATGTATCTATATTTTATATATATATATATCCTGGTACATGCTGGCCAAAGCAATGATCTTAGGATGAACTGGATGATTTGCTTTCTTCAAGGACTATTGAATACAATGGAGGAATGGATGGTAATGCTTAGGTTCTTTTTCAGGCCTGGAGTGACAAACCTTCTTATAAAGGCTGAGTCAAAACTCGCAGAAATATTTGCTCCGCTGTTCCACACCTCAATATCAGAAACAACCACAAGACTCTAAAAGCTTCCGTAGTGGCAGCATTCAATTTACCTGTTTTGGATGGCTTTTGCATGGAGCTCTGAAAGACTGAATGGAAAGTTTTCCCTGTCCATATGCTGATATGCTATTGGAAGATATTACAATTTATGGATGTATAAGGCTGCCACCAATGAAGAATATTGCCATACAACTGAGTACAATGCATGGCACTRCCATGTTGTTTAAGTAGTAGGGTCAAGAGCTGATTGCACTGAAAATATTGCATTTATTGCAAGTAAGATTGGATGAGAAAACTGAGGTGTCAGGGAGGAAAGTATGTGACCGAGGAGCAGACTGTTAGGAAAGAAATAAACACTAGCCCACAGAAAGGGGAGGGGGGTCTCCTACTGGCTATGAGCCCTGTGGTTCTATAGGTTCCTCAGGCCCAAAGACAAGAAAGAGTCAGCATAGCTTGACAAACAGGGTGTTAGTTGATACCAGTGACCTAAAGGGGAAAGGACTGTAATGCTTCTCTGGCTTGCAAGTATTCCCCAGACCACAGCTCCCGCTTTTGTAATTTGCTCTTGTCATTTTTATTTATTGCCAATTGTTCATTTGAATGCATCGGCTGCTAGTGACAGGAGAGCCGTGCAAGGAGAATACTGGATGTGCACCATGGAAATATGGTTTAGCCATTAGTGTCAGAGCAACCTGATGAAGGAAACATTTGTACTAATTTTGAGTGGGTGTTTATGCTCTTAAAAGTGACTCTGYTAAAATGACATGGCGGCGCAGGCACAAGTCCCTATTTCTTCTTTTTTCATGATGTCAGAGGAAATTTGTTCCATTTACAAGTTAAAGTATGACTGTTCATAGCCTTTGCAGAGAGTTATGCTTTGGGAGGCATAGATCAAGTAAAATCTGTTCTAACTCAAGTGTCATTGGCAGGGATCAGCACAGTCCAAAACTACACATTCAAATATACTCCAAACTATGGAACAGGATAGATCTTTCATGTTAGTTTCCCATGTGCCTCCCAAAGAAATTAATTTTCCATATTATCTGAAAGAAAACTCTTCTCCTTCCCAGCACTTGTCTCTGAATGAAAATAATAACAAAATTTCTTCTCTTGGTTACTTGTAAGATCCTCCTTCAGTACTGACTAGCCAATACCTTTACTCTTCTAGGTTTCTGGCTTCATTCCTATTTCCTTTCTCTTTTGAAGACAGAAAGAATTAGCAATTTGGTGGAATCATCTGGTTCTCTGGGAGGAATGGACAGATGGATGAATGCATGGACATCTCTACCCAGGGAAACTGATCCAGCGTTGTGTGGAACTTACTTGAGAACATACTTCCCTCTGAACACAGGCATGGACCTAAGTGCCTTCAGTAATGGGAAAATGTTGCTCCACTTCTAAAAGTAAAGACTGTGCCACTGAAGTAGAATACAGCCTATCACTTGGCCTTTCTGAACTCCACTGACTTTGATKGAACTCCACTTAATTTTGCTAAGAGCATTTATAGCTGTTAGCATTCATATTCTTAGCACAGTCCCTGTAGCTGCACTTCCATCATTGTCTTCTGCACCTGTCATCTCTCTTTCAGCAGTAAGTGCTTTCAGGGGAGTTATGCTGAAGAGATGATGCTACCATTGCAAACAAGGGGCATCTGACAAGGATGCTGCTACAGCCAAATGATCATTTTTCTACTCTGCTTTGTTCAAATCTATTTCTTGTCATCCTTAGTGTGGAGCTGTACACATCTCTGCCCCTCCTCTGTCCTAGCAAAGGGCTGTAGTATGAGTCAGGATTACTGTGACAATGTGAGACAACTCAAGTTATTGAATTCAGGTTATTCAAGTTATACTCTTGAGTCCTGACCTTGGGTAGACAGCAAAGTTTTATTCAGACTGAAGGGGGCGGGGGGGGGAAGAATTAATAATTAGCCTAACTTTTCAGCATTTACTATCTGTGGTGACCTGAAGCATCTCCCCATTGTCTCAGGAACTCCCACCAGTGCCTCTCTCCTGGGAAATCTCAGAAACTCTCTGAATACTGTGCTCTGCTGCTCRCTGCCCTGTTGAGCAGGCAATTCCTAGTATCTTACCAGGCCAAATCAGTAAAGAGGCTACAGAAATTGTAGGCAGGCTGCAGTGTTGTGTGTGTTTGTGGTTTTTTTTTTTTTTAAACTGTAAAATACAGTGGTGGTGTTTTGCCAAAATGTCCCTGCTGGACATGACGAACTTGGACTAAAAYAGTGTAACAACACAGTGCTGATAGTTTATTTAGAGCTCATCATATACAGTATCCATAGAACAATTCTCATTCATAATGTATTCTAGGTTAATTTTCCCTCTGCMATACATTGAATACATTGTATTTCTCCCAGATGGTCAACTCAGCAGGGGCAGCTTGAATTCAGGAGAGCAGCAAGTGGAGTATATAAGATGTGATACTTTTTTCTTTGCCTTTATCATTTTTTTTTAACTTTACAGCATAGCCCTGTTAGACTCTTGAGTGCTTTCTTAACCACAGCCCACTTAGAATAAGCCTGTTTTTGTAGAAAAGGCTTGATGAGATTTAGCAGCTGGGAGTAAATTTGACACAAATTTAGTCTAGAAATAAATTTCTGATTATTATTTTTTTAAACAATGGAAGGTGATTAATCACTGTAACAAGTTCCCTGGGCTTGTAGTGGGATTTCCCAAACTTGGAATCATTTATGAATGCCTTTTTAAAATTCTGTCTTATTTTCAATAGAGCTTACTGGCYGGATGCTAAAAGCTTCATTTGAATTATTTGGTCTATATATACAGGAGTTCTGACAACAGCTCGTAGGTGCCTTTCTAATTTCAAATATCATGATTCTTTAGTTGATCTAAGCTCTTGTTGGCTTCAGCTTATGCCTCCTTATGTTTTTGCTCCCAGTATGAAATCTCTATCTATGCTAAGTATAAAGCCTGTTGTTATTTATGAACTCCCTATGCACCTTCTAGATTAATATCTGTGGGTGAGCATAGCTCTAAAGTCAGTGTTGCTTTTCTATATTCTGCTTGGATCTCTGAATATTTTCTCAAATTGAGCAAGGAAAACAAGTTGGAACAAGTTTCCCATGTCTTGTCTCTGTCAGGYTTTTCTGGAAGGGAGGATTGTACATATAGTTAGAAAAAGCTCAGGCATGTCACAATCAGAAATAAAGCATCAGAGTCTTTCCTCAGGTCTGAGTCAGGCAAAGGTGACTAATTTTGCCTTCATACTACACAAACTCATTAGCAAATTATTTTCTCCTATAGCAGGCATGGTCTTTAGGCTTGTCCATTTGGTAATTCACTCTGGTGATTCTAAATTGRTCCATGAATGGTTCAAAGTGGGAAAGATTTTGACACAACTTCACACTGAGCAAAAATAGGAAATRGGCTGACAGGGACCTGAAGAATTTGTGTGGTGCATCTCATTGGTTTGTGGTCGTTTTTTTTTCTCTCTGTCTTGTGCCCTAGAGATGCCACTCATCCATACTTCAGTGTTAATTCAGTTCCTTGTTCAATAATGTTTTCCCCTGAGCTCCTTGTAATAAGAGTTTTTCATATTTAACCTAAATTGATGATGTTTGTAGGGGCCTGCAGAAAACTTTTATTTCCTGTTTGCGGTAACCTTTTATGGTAATCCCCAATCTTAAGTGAACTTGGTGCTTTGACAAATCATGGTTTCTAGACTTCAGATGATTTGAGGGAACTGCTCCACATCTTATTTGTTTTACCCCTGAGCCTTGCCACTGTTGCATTAATAAGCATGTTCTCACAGGCAGGGTAGGAGACATCTCACAGGTTGGACCTTTCCTCTGCTTGTTATGTGACAAGTGTAGTTCAGGTGGCAGTCCAGCCTTCAAGGCTCCACTTAGGTGTGATGATGTGTCTAATGCAGGATTCTGGGCAAGATGTGTCTGTAAAAAGACTGTATGCCCACTGCTTTCCTGAGCTTCCAGAGCTCTTTCCTCTGGGAAGAGTTGCACTCTTTTTTTCTGACTCTAAACTTCAGGCAGTGGCTCAGCTCTCCATAGAGATCTGTGGCAGGGAGAGCTGAGCAGACTTTAGATGCATCAGTGCATGTATATCTGCTCAGAGACTGTGAAAGTGTCCGCTCTGAAGCACTGCTGTCTCCCTCCGCATCTGGAAGCCAAGCGTGCTAGATATGCTGGGACATAGCATCCATGGCTGGCAGAGGGGATGATCTGGAAGCAGATCCCAGCAATGAGTGGATCAGACTGATAAGGGTTGTTCATGCAGCTGATGCCAATTTACRCTGCAAGAAGCATAAGCAGATCAGGTGCCCATCTAGAACGCTTGTGGACATGTCTCTGCAAGGCTGGGGTTCAGTGGTCATTCAAGAAAATATTCAGGAATGCATGGATTTATAATGGAATTGGGAAAAGGAGTTTAGCCATGTTCATCCAGTCTGCYCTTGTGCTGTGAGTTGTACCCACCTCTGCTTTCTCCCGCTGCCTTCTCTTTATTATTTTTCTTGTCTCTGGGACTGCTGGGACTCTCTCCTTTTTTTGACTACTGTAGCTGTTCTCCTTATGGGGGGGGGGGGAACCCTCCTTACAGCCTCTTATTTTCTCCTCATGTTACATTACATACCCATCTACACTTGTGAGGGCAAAGTTTCTCTCTCTCCTAGACGTGATTCGGTAAAACACCTTGGTATCTTGTATTCATTGCATTATCTTATTAAAACAAATAATTAGAACAAATACTCCCCCCCTTCTGGTAAGGAAAAAAAAACTGCAGATGAATTTATGTTGGTGGTTTATTGAAATAGGGAGCCTGAGAATCCATTTATTTCTTTAAAGCCAAGATCATGCTAGTTGTTAACGCACTGTAAGAGTTTAAGACATTAAATATGTCTCTCTAAGCACTTTGCAGTTCTTCATTTCCTTACCATGGGGAATTGCTTTTCAGTATCAAGTCTAAATGGCTTGTCTTCTCTGGAAAATCACTTGAGTGCATCTTTCTCATTTTAATAAAGTCTGGGTTAGAGGAGGGAAGCGAGCAGCTTATTAAACAATCCATGAAAACATAAAAGTTACCACTTGAACCTTGGGACTGACGTCACTTCATAAATCCATTGACACAGCTCTGCTCACCAATTGAAATGGGGGCAGCCTGAACATCTTTGAGAAGGGATTTTTGCAACAGATTAATTATTGGTTTAGATGGAGCTCATTCTTTAAGGATACATTTACCTTTGTTAAAAACCCAGGTTGCTTTTATAGTCTGAGTGACACAGGAGAAGGGGGTTGGTAGCTGTATTCTTATTTTAATTAAAAAATTAGTAAATTATATTTTTGTAGATAACACCCTTTGCAAAAAGCTGGAGGTTGGGGTTGAGGGGGATGGGAAGAGAAGAGGATATGCTTGTGTGAAACTTGTTAAGGAAAGCAACCTGTCTGTAGAATGACTTGCTGTGGGATTTCCCTACTCATTTCAATTCAATGTCTGGGTGACAAGACCACTTATTCCCATTTCTTTTTCAGTTTGTGAGTTCAAATGTCAATACTGTGAAACGAAGCTGGGAGAATTTGGGATCAGCAGAAGCTGAGGAACAGAACAGAAGATGACAGTCAGTGCCTGCTGAACTCAGCAATGGGATGTGGGGATYGCTGACTCTGCAGGCTAGAGCTGCAGAGTTTCTCTGGGGATGTGTTGTCAGCAGTGACTGAAGGGTACCAGAGGCAATGGTGGCTTCATGTGTTGGGTTAGTGCTATCTCCTTGTTATGGGGGATAMGCTGGAGCCAGTTCGGTGAGGGCTCTGTAAGGTACTAAAGATGCTGTGAGAACAAGCTAAAGTTTTATCAGCCTTGTAACTGACTGGCTCCTTGGAACCAGGCCTTCAATTTCATAAGCAATAAATTCCTCTAATCACAGGACAAAAGAAAAGAAACAATCCAAAGAGCTAGTACAAACCTAAAGGCACAGAGCTGTAAATCCTTTCTTTGCATAATTTCTGGGTGATTGAAATGGCATAGAAGTCCTAATACCATAACAAGTTACAGTCAATTCCTAACATACTGGCAAGGTAATTTCACCCGTAAGTGATCTGAGCTTTTCTGATCACAGTGGTTCATTTGTTTGTTTTTCCCTTAGTGTCTGTTTTCCAGGACAATTTATTTGTGTTTGTAAGACGTAAAGGTGTTTTCTGGGAAGGGTTTCACTGCTGTTTACTTTGGCAGAGAGCACTACTAGCTCTATTAGTGGTGTACTGACTACCTGAGAGAGGCTWTCTGTGTTGTTGAGAGAAATGAATGTTTATAGCAAGAGCTGCTAAATTGCATAGTGAGATATAATCTCTTAAAACCTGGACAGGTCAGACAGTACTGGCATTTGCTTTGTGATGTCTGTTGTATTTAGAAGAGCCCTTGCAAAGAGCAGAGGCATCCATGCCTTGCTGTAAACTATCTAATCTAATGGTTTCCAATTAATTTTTGATATTTATTCTGGAACAATAACCAATTGTGATACACGTTGGTTTTGATATGAGAACAACCAACTGAAATACAATGGTCTCTTATTTACATGATTTACAGATTAGATGTTTCAGTGCACTTAGGAATTTGCCAGTTTTATTTTTTTTAAAGAGGGAGTCTAGGGATGAGGTTTCTGAAAGAGTATTTTCCCTAAGGGCTGTTTGCAACTACTTGTGCTTCAGGACTGATATGTATCATTTAAATAAATGCAGAAAATGTTCAGGGTTTGCAGCACTGATTTCATCAGAGATGGCAAGAAAGAGGAGGGGGAAAAAAAAAAAAGCCTGTGATGTTTGTAGCCTTTTTTATCATTGCATAGAATGGTGACTGTGCGAAATGCATAGTAAAATATATGTAATATTTCTATCTATTACTAATATTTCTATTTCTAGGATGTAGGAGTGTGTTATAAATACAGAATGGGATATAGMAGGTTAGGTAGTAGTTTAACTCAGTCCCAGGTGGGAATATCCTGGGAGAAGAAGAAACTGAAACTTCATGGCACTCTTTACCATGGTCTGTATTGCTACCAAGATAACTACTGGCCTATTGAGACCAGTAGAAGGCCAGGGACAGAAAGGGTAAGCAAATAACACAGTTGTTCACACCCCAAATTGTTCTCTTTGTCATCTCAGACAGTAACGGTGACAGCATCATCTGGTCATCAGCTGCATGAGAGGGCCCTATGGGTGACTTGAATGTGCCAGGGCTGGGGTTCTACTGCTTAAGATATGAATTGGTGTGGATTGGGAAGAGAGAGAGAGAGAGAGAGAGAGAGATACGAGAGGAGTACCAGGGAGAAGCTCTAGGTGTGAGC